TAAAAAAAACCCTACTCACTTCAACCGAAACAGCAAACAGACTTAATGTTTTCTTCTCCACCATGGGAAAAAAAATCTAGCAAACAAAATCCCATGCCAACGCTCGTCCATAGACGAAGCAGGTTCTAGGATATTCCCCTAAGAAAGAAGAAGAGCAGGAGTAAACTGGAGAGAGAAAGACGCTCCCTCTACAGAAGACGAGGAAGAGTCATTTGAGCCTCAGGAGTGCTAGAATATCTGATACACGAAAGGAGGCGCTGCCCAGGAAGTGGAAACTATCGACTTAAGTTAAATGACTCTTACAGGAACCAGGAGAGACAGGAGGAGCTTAAGCTATTAGTGAAATTGAAAGAAATTCAAAACATTTCTTTTCATTTTGCAAAAACAAGGCAAATACCACATTTTAGTATCGGGCCTTACTCAGACAGGATGGGACTTACACAGATGACAACAAGAAATGAGTGAAATATTGAAATCCCAGTACGACTCTGTGTTTAGTAAAACCACTAATCGGTCTGAGGTTTCGACGACCCAAAATTGTTTTCTTCATGAATGAGCCTCAAAACTCCATAAAGGGTATGCCAGATTTCCGACATTACCCTAACTCCGATAGATTTTCGAAAAAGCCATTGACAACATGCCTATGCACTCAGCCCCGGGCCCAGACTCGTGGAACTCTGTTTTCATTAAGAACTGCAAAAAAACCCTCTCGCGTCCCCTAAGTACACTATGGAGGAGGAGCTTGGACATGGGTGAAATTCCACAGTCACTCAAAACAACGGATACACCCCCACTCCACAAAAGGTGGCAGCAAAGCATTAGCTAAGAACTTTTAGACCAATAGTTCTGACGTCCCACATCATAAAATCTTTGAAAGAGTGCTAAGAAGCAGGATTGCAAATCACCTGGATTCCCAAAATCGCACAATCCAGGGCAACATGGGTTCAGGGCAGGTCGCTCTCCCTCTCACAACTACTGGATCACTATGACATGGCCTTGGATTGCACTGGAAGAAAATCGGGAATGCAGATGTAAAAACACAGACTTTGCAAAAGCATTTGACAAATGCGATCATGGCGTATTAGCCCATAAAATACGTGCTAAAGGAATAACTGGGAAAGTGGGGAGATGGATCTTCAACTTCCTAACAAATCGAACACAAAGAGTAGTGGTCAACAGAGTTAAATCGGGGCTGCATAGTGAAGAGCTCTGTTCCACAAGGCACAGTACTCGCCCCCATCTTATTCCTTATCCTCATATCAGACATAGACAGAGATTTTTCCCACCACAGCACCGTATTCACCCTTTGCGGATGATACTAGGATCTGCTGAGGCTGTCATCTGCAGAGGACGCGGTTAACCTCCAAGAAGATATAAACAAAGTTTTCCGTGGGCAACGGTAATCAATTGATGTTCAATGAGGACAAATTCCAATACTCCGTTATGGAAAACTGGAGGGAGATAATAACTAGAACAGGTTATACTACAGACTCCGGCCATACAACAGAGCGGAAAAATAATGTAAGGGACCTGGGAGTAGTAATGTCTGAGGATTCTCACTTTCAAGGATCACAACAGTGCCACGATCACACGTGCAAAGGAAAATGATAGGATGGATAATGAGAACTTTCAAAACGAGAGATGCCAAGCCAATGATGATTTCCCTTTTTAAATCACTTGTTCTCTCTAGGTGGAATACTGCTGTACATTAACATTCAATTCAAAAGCAGGTGAAATCGCAGATCTAGAGAGTGTACAGAGATCCTTTACTGCACGTTAAAGTTCTGTCAAACACCTTAACTACTGGGAACGCTTGGGAAAGCAATTGTTTTGGGGGGGGGAAAAAAAAAACTTCCCCGGGAAAATTTTGGGAAGGAATGGCCCCCAAATTGCACACAGAAATCACTCCCTAAAGAAAGTAAAAGACGGGGCAGGCGTTTCAAAAAGGCCCCCAAAAAAAGTAGGGCGCCATTGGTACACAAAGGGGAAAACCCATAAGTGCCCGGGGCCCAAAACTGTTCCCGCCTCCCATAAAAAGCATTAAGGGAATTGCCAAAAACCCCCCTGGCTGCTTCAAGAGAGAGGGGAAAGATACCTAAAGTCGTGCCGGTCAGCCGGGCTGTGGCTCGTACTTTGGACTGCGTGCGGCCAGCAGTAACGCCTAGTTGATCAGGCCCTGACCATGGGGAGGCCTGGTCATGGACGGGCCCGCGGGGGCTTGATCCCGGAATAACCCCAGGTAACCGGGTAACCTCCGGTTAGGTAACTCCCCCAAAATACGCATTCCTGCTCAACCCAAAACCCCATAGAATTTGGCCACATAAACACCTTAAAAAAAACAAGGGCAGAGACATAACTTGCCTGCTTTTTTGAAAAAAGCTTCTAAAAGTATTGCACCAATTATTGCAAAAAACCTTTTAAAAAACCCAGAATCATCTACCCCCCAACAATCCTCAAAAAGCAGGGTCCTCGATCCAAAAGGGAGGGGGAAAAAGCTGACTTGAATAACTATGCCAATATCTAACTTATCATGCCCTCAAAATTTTAAAAAATTAATTATAACGGATCTTTCCCTCCTGTCTCCAAAATTTAAAAACCCTTGATTTTGGATTCAGGAATAATAAAAGCACAAATGACATCATACACATGCTGAATTAATTATACCGCAATCAAAAAAAAAAAGACCGGGGGGATTTTCTTTGATTTACGAAAAGCTTTCGATCGTCACCTGACTGCGTACCCAAATTTTATGCACTAGGTATTAGAGGCCAAATCCCTCAACTACCTAAAAACATCCTTTGTAAAAAGAACTCAATATGTGTATGAAAATTGAGAAAAACTCTCCACCCAAACCCAATCACGTGGGAGCCCCCAAAGGAAGGTCCTGGGCCCCACTCCTCTTCTCATTACATCAATGATTACCGTATGCATCACAGCTATAAAAACCCATATTTTTGCAGATGACATACATATTTTTTTTCCCCCCCCAAACACAGTCATACTAGCAAACACAGTCAATGCTTTTTACGGGAAAATATCTGCTGGATGATGATTAACAAACTTACCCTGAACACTGAAAAACCCATTTCATTCGTTTGGAAAAAAAAGCTGCTAATTTTTCCAAATTTAAATAATGCTAAATGGATCTCAGTCAAAAAATCACGAGGGAAAATTCCTAGGTACCCACCTTGACAGGCCTTAAATTTTCCGGCCCACACATACAACAAATCCCCAAAAGAAAATCTCCAAATGTAGGCTTACTAAAAAGATAAGGTCTAATTCCAAAAACCCCTCCCCTGGCACTGTCCCATCCTCAATACCCTTTTTACAAGGGAAAATTTGTGCATGGGGATCACAAACCCAATTTCCAAAAACCCTAATAACCCCAAAAGGCAGCGTAAGAATATAACAAATTCCCACTCCCCCAGATACTCACCAATTTTCAAAAGTTGAATTCCCCACCTTTAAAGAATACCCATTTTATTCATTGTTACTACATACACAGAACAATAACGCAAATAAAAACCCCCCCTAAAAAATTCTCCTCACCAACCTAAACGGGGAACAGACCACAACACAAACACAGATCTTTTTTTGGGGTATACCTCGTGTCCTATACACTGTATAAAAAAGCAATAAAGGGCCCAAAATAGGAAAATTCACCCCAGAAGATTTAAAGTAACCCCAGTCGAAATCATTTAAGGGATTCAAAAAACCATTAAAATCACCCTAGACTAATCCCAATACCATTTACACACTTACTCACTCTGTACTTCCAATCATAACTGAAAAAAACCCTTTTGAACCTTTTATCCATTGTTGACAGGAATATATTGAATCATTGTTTCCAAAAAAAGCATTTTCGAATATAAATTTCTTTGTCTTATAAAAATATTGATTTTTTTAAAATTTAAAATCTATTGTAAAAATGAAATAATTAAACCCTACTGTAAAAATTGATATACTTCCCCTTAGTTTTAAAGTAGACTGTAAGCCAATAATGTTAAGTTCCCCCATAATCGAGGCATAAAGGGTTCTCTTTGCTTGCAACCCATATTGAAATTTTAAAATCTAAATGTACTGTTTGCAAGTAAAAAAATAAAAAAAATAAGGTGATTTGTATAGATCCCCGAGGGTTTGGGGTAGGAGAGGTAAGGATAGATTAGAGAATTTATATATAATGCTGTGTGAGGTGAATAACCCTTCTTGTGGGGGGTGCCAACGTTTTGGATGTTGGGAAAATGGGATAAATACTTTGATTTAAGGCACGCGAACATGCCATTGTTCCAAAAATGTGGCCCTCAGACCGTACACATGTATTGAAATTTTGAACCCGATTAGATGGGGTTCTCGAGTTAAAAAAATAATATGAAAAAGTTAGAGGAAAAAAAAATTTCAGGCAACGTCAAAGGTTCCATTCGGGATACACTTAATAACTGTTTTAAAATTTTGTGGGAAAAAAAAATTGAGAGGTTAACATTTTAAGGTTATA